TGATGCTGGTACCTCTGACAAGCTGCGTGCACTTCACAACATGAGTGTGTGGATGGTCAATAGTGATTTCAAAAGCTGCAATAAAAAGGGGACAAAAAAGGAAACAGAGCTTAATATACAAAATGCAGAAAAATGCAGCAACCATGGCCCGATGGCCACAAAAAGCTACTGTGCAGCCACCACATATCCCCAGCGGGTGGCCTACTATGGCCACCAAGCTTTCTTAGATCTCCATTGAGAATCAGACCCTGTGTCTCAGACCCTCTGCACTTTGCCAATACAAAGTTAACTTTCCACAAACATCCCCTTTCATTTGCACCGTTTAGTTCAACAGTCTACAAATACAGTCAGCACTGATATATAAAACTGTTTAACATCAAATACCAATGAAAACACATTGCGTGTCTTTATGGTGCACTAACTGTGACCCAAATTCAACAGTGAATAGCAGTGAATGCTCATGCTAACAAGTTAAACAACAGCCTTTTTCCTATGGAAGTCCACAATCGTCCCCTGTGCATGATTTGCCAGATGGTGTCACTGTCTGGTGAGGTGACAGTGAAAAAAGCATAGGTCACCCAAAGCTTCAATTAGAAGTTAGACGATCATGCCTATCTCATGCACAGTTCTAAAGTCTGAAGAGATTCATGAAATCATAGGAGAGAAGCCAGTCATCTGAGTTTGTGGAAAAACCTTTTACCTTTCTATTGCATATGATAATTCATACTCAAAGTAGAACTAAAGTGACATTCATTAAAACAGGATCAGTTAAAACATCTCAAAATGCAGCTGCACTATTTTGCAGCATAGACTCTTCTAACAATATGGAATAGAAAAATAACCCAGTCCAGCCCAGGAAAAAAATCTAATTATATTTACATTTGGGCCACCAAATTTAGAGGCTTGGGTGCCTGTGGAGCCAGTGCTTAAAAATATTAGCATCTATCCCTGAGAAGACTTCCTAATATGTACACTAGGCTGTACCATTAAATCCAGGTTCCATGAGAAAGATTATTTCCCATTCTGTAGTAAAAAAAAAGAAAAAACATCCCCATAAATCAGAAAATGAACAATGTTACACCAAAGTGAGTGTTTCAGAGAATAATGTTGACAATCACTTTATATGAAACATCAGGGGCAATGTGAAAACAGTGACAGTGGAATTTAAAAAGCATTAATAACATGCAAGTATGAAGCTAATATGAAGTATGGATGTCACTTCCCAATGCTTCTAACCACATATGAGGTTTCTGTGGACAAAAGTAAAACAGGTTAGCACTATTTTTACAATCACATGTTTCTGCAGGGACCCAGTTCTTTCTTCCCAACTTACCCAAGGTCTGGAGTATTATGCTCTCAAGAATGACCAGGTCTTGGGCTTGTTGCAGGTAGGCCTGAGGTTGAGAGGACAGGCACATTACTCACTGGGCGCCCTTTGTCCTTGGTCAAACAAGAGCAACTGGACATGCTATCTGGTCCTGAAAATGTTTTGACGATTCATCTGAAAGACTCTCCAAGTTTAAATGAAAGATGAGGTTGCTGATGTTCAAATGTTTAACACCTATCATTCTTATAGAACTAACCAAATCTCACACATAAATGATGGAATAATAAAAGCTATATAGCCAGTACAGATGCTCTTGTTTTACAAGTAGTAGACATTACATGACCTGGATTACTGACAGCCTACACAGACACTAGGATGCATTTCGTCTTTTGCTCTCCTCACCCACATATCATGCAGCCTCGATATCCGAGGCACATCAAAACAAAATACCTCGTCCAAGTAACCCAGTTTATGTGTTGTAAAAACCGCGCATAACGAAGAAAACTTAAACTATTAAGTGTATTCCAAGACATTATACTTAAAAACCAGGAGAACATAAGCGTGATGGCGAGTGTCACAAACTGGAGCAGTGAAAAGGTTTGTGGCCCACTCAAATCTAAAATATTTAAGTGCTGGTAACAAGGTCTGAAACCAAATTGTTGTTTCTGAATGAAAACACACAAAAAAGAAAACACAGGCTCCTTAAGCTTTATTATTATGGAGATGCCCTGTTAGGTAAACACAGCAGAAGACAATGGACAAATGCAGGTCACTTTCACTTACATCACTGCGCACATCTGGTGAAGGCTCCTGAGGATTGAGGCATGCATGGGCCACCTTGATAACATGCTCCAGCTTCCGGGGCTGCTCCTCAACTTTTGCAGCGAGGAAGAGAGCGGCAGGAGCAATAACCTGATGAGGTGAAACTCACAGAAATTAATGAGCTGACTGACTCCAGAACTGACAGTGGCAAAAAAAACAAACAAATACTTACATTTCTGTGAAATCTGGTGAAAGACTGGACCATGTAGAATCGATGCATGTACACAATAGCTGTATTAATTGTAAGTTGGGACCTGATACCTGGCAGTTAAGGACAATGTAGCAAACAGTACCATATCATCGCAACTGCTGTTTTTAAAGTATATCCCCAATAAGCCTGGAGTCGTTGGTCTACATGTTAAATACCACAACCGAAAATATTTAGTTTAATCACTGACTTGTAAGAATCTACATCACATCAGTAGCAAAACAAGCTGAAGCCCGAGCCAGCTTTGGCTACAAATCAGTCTGAAGTTACCCGGAAGCACATATTATTAAATAAAACGTAAATAGGTTTGACGAGCACCCCCCCAAACCCCAAAACACTAAAGCACTAAAACACTGCGCATCTAAAACAATAAGACATTCTGCTCTGTACCTTTGCTTCACTAATATCAATGCAGTAAAGGCGAAGCTAATGCTAACGTCCTCAAGGCCCACCGACACACAGGCCTTCATGGCCCCGGTTTAGCATAACGCGCCTCTCTGATAGCGTTACCAAGCTATCGTAAACATAACAACAAAGCATTGTGTGATACAGATAGGAAACGTAAAACTAAACTAAAGACATTCGAACAAAACACAATAACCTAAACCAATCGGACTCTTGGCCGAACCGGCTTCATGAGAAGTTAAACCTCGCTAGCTAACATGCTAACGTTAGGTAAGACGCAAGTCGTCTCGACAAAAGATACACATTGAGTCGCTGTCCCATGTCCTGGAGCAGGTTGGCCGCCTGTTGTCTGTAGGACAGTTCCTTATCGGGATCTAGTCCAGCACGCCGTGATGGGCTGTCGTCAATCTGTTGTCGTGTGTAGTACCATTTGTTATTACAGTTTGTAGAAGGAGAACGAAACGAAGCCGCCATCACTGAGAAGGACGAGAGTTTAAAATTTCTACGCGTCACAGGAAAATACGTCACACCGGGAGCAACGTCAATGTAATTCCTGTAGGAACCAACAGAGGCCCCCAAAACACCCCTAACTAGGATCAGCCTAAAAATCAGAGTCAGCTTGGTTGTATGTTTAATCACAAAAGGAAGTTGTCTTCGTTACAGATTTTAGTGAAATTATCATAAATGTATAAATTCAACCAAATGTTAATTATTGAGGCCATAGTTAAAGGTGGTGCTGTACTGGACTACATTATATTCAGAGGTGTTCCTAATATTCTCACATCTATGCAGCTGGGGAGGACAAAAATATAAATACAACTCTGAATATAATGTAGTCCAGTACAACAGATATAACAGATGTCACTCCCAAAGGTTTTAAAACCATATTATTTTTTAAATTATAATAATAATGATGTAATTCCAAAAGGCATGATAATGCTGTGGGGATAACAGTCACATTATTTGTGACTGAATGAAGACAGCTGAGAACATTTTTTTATCTTCTCCATGAACCAGAAATAAAGGTTCAGACCCTATTTTCTTGTCACCATTCTAAAATCTGATTAACTCTTTATGTAAGGTACCTTTGGGGGTATACGTTGTTAGTAAATAATTGACTAATTCTTTATAGATTAGTTGTCAGTCATTAATAAGAACAACCTTTTGTCACTTTTGTCTTTTTAGCTATTTCTTTAATTTATTAGAGAACCTCACCAGTGAGGTGTTTATCCCCAGGAAAAGGGCTCCATTTATCAACTTCTTCTGCTGGAGCCAATCCCAGCAGACATTGGGCAAGAGGTGGGGTCCAGCATGGACAGGTCGCCAGTTCATCACAAAGCTGACAAACAACCACACACGCACACTCACTCCTATGGGCAATTTAGAGTCACCAGTCAATCTAAGTTGCATGTCTTTGGACTGTGGGAGGAACTGATTTTTTTATTTGATTTTGATTTGATTTATTCTTTCAAGCATGTAAAGACAGTTGATATGTCAACACACATAATTTTACACATATCCAACAAATGCTAATCCAATATCAATTTGCTTATACCTAGTACATGCTTGAATGGAGTAGGAAGAAGTCAGACTTATCCAGTCCTACCCCATGACATCATCTTACCATCATTGGTTTACAAGCAGTATCTCTACATAAATAATTATCTTCTACACCACACAAGTAATATACTAAAAAAATTATAACAGAGTGTTAACATTCATACACCACACCCACAATGTTCCATCTAATTAATCATTAAGCCTGTTCTTGCATATATCTTGATTGACACATACCTTTATATTTATGTTTAAACTCATCAATTCTATTACTATTTTTTATGTCCACACTTAAATTATTCCACAGTTTTACCCCACTTATGGAAATACAAAATCTTTTTTTTGGTTGTACGTATAGCATGAATTTTTAAATTTAACTGACCCCTTAAATTGTATCCCCCTTCCCTTTCATTAAATAGTTTTTGAATTCCACCAGGTAATAAATTGCTCCTGGCTTTATACATAAACACTGCAGTCTTATATCCCACTAAATCAAAAAATTGTAACAATTTAGACTGTATGAAAGCTCCATTGGTGTGACCGTCGAAATAACACAACCACTGCTAACTCTTGCTCTCTTATTTACCACCGCGTTATGGCCTAGAATTTGTCATCAACTATGACACCTAGAAATTTAATTTCATATACTCATTCTATATTAGCTCCCCCAATTTTCAATTGAAGTTCATTATATAGTCTACAATTCTCAAATACCATAAATTTTGTTTTATCCAAATTCAGAGATAATATATTACTGTCACACCATTTCTTTATCTTCTCAAGTTCCTGTGAAACCCGTCCAGAGAGTTGTTGTAGGTTTTCACCCGATGCCCATATGGTAGTGTCATCAGCAAACAAAACCACTTTCACTAAATCAGAAACCTTGCATATATCATTAATGTATAATATAAATAATTTAGGTCCCAAAACAGAACCCTGAGGCACTACCACATACAATATCCAGCTCACTCGATTGGTATTCACCCAACTGCACAAATTGACGCCTCTGTGTCAAATAACTTCTAATCCTGTTAGATCCGCTCGGACACAGCCAGTCTCTTATTCTGGTCTGCCATACGCAACAAAATGGCCCTAGTCTCATCCCAGACGGCTTGACAGCGAGTGATGTGGGCTTGGACAGAGGGGGAGGTTGGTAACCGAGAGATGCCTGAAAGGGAGAGATACCAGTGGCGGAGCTAGAGAGTGTGTTATGAGCATATTCCACCCAGGGCAACAACTGGCTGCAGTCCACTGGTGACACAGCGGAGGGTGTTTTCCAGCTCCTGGTTCAGCCGTTCAGCTTGCCCATTAGTCTGGGGGTGATAACCAGAGGAAAGACAGGGACATGCTCCGAGGGTAGTGCAAAAAGCAGACCAGACATGAGAGGTGAATTGGGGACCGTGGTCAGAAACGATAGTGATGGGGGTGCCGTGAATACGAAAAACATGCTGAACCAGGAGCTGGGCGGTTTCTAGAGCAGAGGGGAGTTGTGGAAGGGCAAGGAAATGGGCGGCTTTGGAGAAACGGTCGACGATGGTGA